AAAATAGTTTGTACATGCACTTGAAACTGCGTTTTAGCAGTTCAGTCAGGGCCCGAGTTTGAAATGCAGTTCAAACTCGGGCTGCCTTTCGGTAGCAGTTCAGTCAGGGCCCGAGTTTGAAATGAAGTTCAAACTCGGGCTGCCTTTCGGTAGCAGTTCAGTCAGGGCCCTCGTCTATCCACAAACAGCAGATTTAAAAAAAAAAAAAAAAAAATCCCTTATGCTGTGATTGCGGTCCGATACAGGATGATACAGTACTTGTCTGGAACTGAATGAAGAGAGGCAGTTAGCTGCCTTGCATGGAATCCGCCCTGCCTGACTGGCAGGGCACTACAAGGACCTCACAATAAAAAGCAAACAAAGAAAACGACATGTCTCACAGTCCTCACATACTGGCCAGATACATTCCTTAAAGCACTGGTGTAACTTCCACCTAGGTGAGGGTCTCCCCCACGTCGGTGGATTCATGGTTCCTCGTTTCTTTTCTTTTTTTTTTTCTCTTTTTCTTTCCTTTTTCTTCTTTGGCCTCCATCCCTGCAGTGTTGAAATACAGACCCAGGTTCGAATGGCTTAATTCAGAATTGTGTAGGGCGGCCCCACCACGCCCCGCCACGCGACATCTGGGCCGTGGCCAATCTCAGGTGTGCCCGAGACATCTGGACCGTGGCCAATCTGGGGTGTGGCCGAGACATCTCGGCAGTGGCCAGTCTGGGGTGTGGCCGAGACATCTCTGCCGTGGCCCAATCATGGGGCCGTTTTTTTTTTTTTTTTTTCCCAGCCGCGGTGGGCGATCAAAAAGAAAAAGAAAAAAAAACGGCCATGTGCCTGACTGAACTGGTAGAAAAGGCCAGGCTGAGCCCGAGTTTCAACTGCATTTGAAACTTGGGGCCTTACTAAATTGCTAAAACGCAGTTTGAGATGCATTTACAAACTGTAGCCCTGACTGCGCCATATTTATTTCAAAAAAAAAAGAGGAGAAGGGGGCTCCTCTCGACGGGGGTGGGGAGCAACACGTGCTGGGAACTGGGCCCAGCATCCCATATGGGAATTTACTTCGAAAGTTTGAGATACCGGGGCCATTACCCGGAGGCGTTTTGGTAAGAATGAGGGCAATTCTGTTTCTCTTCACAGCGGAGAGGTGTTGTCCTCTCTTTTCCCCTCTGTGCTGTGGAGAGAGCGGGAGGGTAGCTTTGAAGATTCCCTCCTCTACTCCTTGTCGTACATGTTCAAATGCTGCTCAAAGATACAACCATACAATTTAGTACAACATAGCCAAATACTGTAAAATGCATTCATAGATTGCACCAACTCCACCGTACCATGTAGTTAGTAACTTACACATTACACACTTGACACTCATGAACTCATGCATCAGGCATCAGAAATCAGGAATCAGAACTTAGCACTCGATACAGCACTGTCAATACTGTCAAACACTGTCAAACGCCGCTTAATAGTACGACCCAGTACAACATTACCCATGCTACTAATTGCAAACACAGATAGACATAGATAGACGAAGATAGTACTGTACTATAGGCCTACAAACATGCATACTATGGTACACTCAATACATGTACCATATGCCTACAAACAGTCACACTATATGACACACAAAATATGTCACAGTCTATTAGTCTATTAGCCCACAGCATGCGACCAGTATCCTACCCCTTAAACCACCAGTACCTGGCCCAGCTATCGGCCGCGGCGCTTCCCGTATACGCGCCGCGCCATTTGGGCTTCGGCCTGCCGGACCGCATTGGCTGGAGGCCGCAGGCAAAACGAAAAAGAAAATTGCGACGGCGGTTCGGCAGGACTTGGCGCGCAGCGTGCTGGGAGGCTGGGATTCAATAGCTGAGCGAGGTACTGGTGGTTTAAGCGCGGGCGGCCCGGGGGGAGGCTGTGTTCCTCTGCGCGCCGGAATCGGGTCGAAGTTTTGATTCGGGCCGGCGGATGAAGGCGATCGAGGGAGCTCAGGGAGGGGTGGTGTGCAGAGTGGTCCGCGTACCGAATTGTTCACAGCGCGCCCGAAAACGAGAGGGCGCACCCACGGGGCCGAGTGGCGGCGGGCGTCGATGCGAGGGACGTCCCGAAGGGGCCGCCATCCGATAAACGGGCGGCCTTTTTCTTCTTTTCCACAAATTGTCTTCATGTTTTGTTTTGTTTTCTTTCTTTCTTTTCTTTTTTCTCTTTTCTTTTTCGTGCGGCGTTTGTCGTTCTTGATTTTTTTTTTTCTTTCATTTTGGCGCGTCGGGCTTCCGTGTTTTTTTTTCTCTCTTTTCTTTGGCGCGTCGTTTTGCATGTCGCTTTCGGGGTGGACGTGCCCCCACGCACCCACCCGCACGCACGCCCGTAGAAAAAAAAGAAAGGGAAAAAAAAAAAAGGAATGATCCTCCCGTAGAAAAAAGGGAAAAAAAAAGGAAAAAAGGGGAAAAAAAAGGAAAGCAAGCGAAAAGGGAAAAAAAAACGAAAGAAAAAGGGAAAAAAAAAAAGAAAGCAAACGAAAAAAGGAAAAAAAAAAAAAGACAAAAAAACACTTTTGTCTTTTGTGTATGCAGAGAGTGGTGCAGCAACACATGCGAACTGCCTGTCTCTCACACAGGGCGTCGCTGCATTACTCTCCGATTGTGCAAAATGAGAATGAATCCTCCCCGGGAACCTGGAAAGATACATCGCCATGTTTTTTGTCTTTTGTGCATGCGGAGAGTAGTGCAGTGACGCCCACAGACGGAAACACAGACACACACACACACACACACACACACACAGAGACAGAGGCGGACAGACAGATGGGACTAAGTTTGCCCATGTGTCTGTGTGTATGCGTGTGTCAGAGAGAGAGAGGGGGAAAGTGTGTGTGTGTGTGTGCGAGTGCCTGGGTGTCGGAGAGAGAGTGCGGCCAAGAGTGTGTGTGAGTGTGCGTGTGGGTGTGTGGCAGAGGGACAGTGCGGTCAAGACTCTGCAATCGCCAGTGGCAAGAGCCGAGACAAAATGGTGCGCCGTATAGCTATGGCGAACATGTCTTGAAACAAACAAACAAAAAAAA